ACCTGGTGACTTAAGACAACATTTTGAAATTCAGGTCCCATTTTTCCTCATTTTGGAAGCCTTTCTGCTGACAAATCCAATATGCTTTTTTTTTTTTTTTTTTTTTTTTCCTGATGTTCCTCACAGACAAGAACCAATATGTTTTTTTAAGAGACCAGTTCTGCTATGTTGCCCAAGCTGGAGTGCAGTAGCTATTCACAGGTGCAGTCATAGTGCACTATCCTGGAGTTCCTGGGCTCAAGCAATCTTCCTGCCCCAGATTCCTGAATAACCAGGACTACAGCCATGCACTACCACACCTGGCTAAATCCAATATTTTAACTTAGCTGGAAGAAGGACATTGGGGTTCTTCTTACTTCCCCTTCAGAGGACTAGATCTGGTACCCAATTTTTTTTTTTTTTTTTTTTGAGACAGAGTCTGGCTCTATCACCCAAGCTGGAGTGCAATGGCGCGATCTCTGTTCACTGCAACCTCTGCCTCCCAGATTCAAGCAATTCTCCTGCCTCAGCCTACTGAGTAGCTGGGATTACAGGCACCCGACACCACACCTGGCTAATTTTTGTAATTTTAGTAGAGGTGGGGTTTCGCCGTGTTGGCCAGGCTGGTCTCGAACTCCTGGCCTCAAGCAATCTGCCTGCCTCAGCCTCCCAAAGTGCTGGGATTACAGACATGAGCCACCTCATCCCACCTGGTACCCAATTTTTAGAAAAAAATATTTACATTCAGAAAGCAAAGGATAGATCAAAGAGAGTGCAGAAGCAGTCACATACCCGTTAGATGCAGCAAGAAAGTCACCCTTTAGATTTATAAACTCCTTGTCGGGTTGTTTCCTCTCTTGTCCCCTTCTCCACACTTTTAAACAAGTATGTTATGGTCTAAGTTGAGAGCTTGACAAGGTTTTCACTATGGTTGAGGCATCAATCTCTTTTGTAACTGAATCTATTCACCCAGGGATAATGTGAGCAAACCATAATCAAGCTATTTGTCCTAACTAGGCATTTACCCTATAAACATAATAAGAAACAAGCTTCTGGAAGTCTTTTTTTTAAACCACTTATCTGGCAGTTTCTCTCGCTGTAGTTCTGCCTTCATTAAAAGCTATACAGGGGCTGGGCGTGGTGGCTCACGCCTGTAATCCAAGCACTTTGGAGGCCAAGGCGGGTGGATCAACTGAGGTCAGGAGTTCAAAACCAGTCTGACCAACATGGTGAAACCCTGGTCTTTAAAAAAAGAAAAATATTTCTTTTTATGTTAAAAAAAATTTTTTTAGCCGGGCGCGGTGGCTCAAGCCTGTAATCCCAGCACTTTGGGAGGCCGAGGCTGGTGGATCACGAGGTCAAGAGATCGAGATCATCCTGGTCAACATGGTGAAATCCCGTCTCTACTAAAAATACAAAACATTAGCTGGGCATGGTGGCACGTGCCTGTAATCCCAGCTACTCAGGAGGCTGAGGCAGGAGAATTGCCTGAACCCAGGAGGCGGAGGTTGCGGTGAGCCGAGATCACGCCATTGCACTCCAGCCTGGGTAACAAGAGTGAAACTCCGTCTCAGAAAAAAAAAAAAAAAATCTTAATTAAAAAAAAAAAAAAAACTGTTCAGGGAGTAGGGCACAATTTTTGGAAGCATATCTATCTAAGATGCCAATTTATCTGCATTTCAGTGAAAAGTAAGTCATCAGGGTATTTGGGACACCTCTTCAAGCTTTTCTTGATGATCAGTATCAGCATGGACCACTCCTTTCCAGCTTTCCTCATTCCTAGTTTAGAGTCCACTATTGTGACTTTATACCTTCAAATTAGGGTATAGATCCAATATAAAAAAAAAAATTGTGGGGTCGGGCATAGTGGCTCATGCCAGTAATCCAAGCACTTTGGAGGCCAAGGCTGGCGGATCACCTGAGGTCGGGAGCTCAAGACCAGCCTGACCAACATGGTGAAATCCCGTCTATAAAAAAAAAAAAAAAAAAATTTGTTTCTGTAGTTATTAGAGAGGAGTCCAATGTGATTTAGAGAACAAGTTGAAATCATTCTATCAAGATGTAACAAGGCCGGGCGCGGTGGCTCACGCTTGTAATCCCAGCACTTTGGGACGCCGAGGCGGGTGGATCATGAGGTCAAGAGATCGAGACCATCCTGGTCAACATGGTGAAACCCCGTCTCTACTAAAACTACAAAACATTAGCTGGGCATGGTGGTGCGTGCCTGTAATCCCAGCTACTCAGGAGGCTGAGGCAGGAGAATTGCTTGAACCCAGGAGGTGGAGGTTGTGGCGAGCCGAGATCGCGCCATTGCACTCCAGCCTGGGTAACATGAGTGAAACTCCATCTCCAAAAAAAAAAAAAAAAAAAAGATGTAACAAAGAATTAAGGTGAAGGATCTGGGCTGGGGAAGGACCCACCCTAAAGATGAACTTTCTTTAGTTCACAGTGATAACTGTCAATTTATCCTCAATGTTCAGAATAATGCCTAATACCCAGTAAGCGATCAACAAATTTTTTTTAGCCAATGAGTAAATTATTACCCTAGTTTATGTACCTGCTGAAATTATATTTTTCTAATTTTTAACTATTATGCAAAAAATGTTTCCAGTTAAATATCTTGCATACCTCTTTTTGAACACCTGTTTATCTGTAGAATAAAAAAGTGAAATTAGAATATCTGAAGCAATGTTTTTCATTATAATCAGTATTACTTCGAAGATTACTTAATTTTAATATTTTAACTTGAATTAATACTGTCAAATCTACCCCTACCCCTGTCAGTGACTAACCTGATTTATACTTCTACTAAGAATATTCACTTTTCCACAAAATTGATATTTTCAAATTTCAGTTTTAGACAGTGTGGGAGATAATGGTTCTATTGTTTTGCTTTGCATGCCAGGGTCACTAGTGCAGTTAAGCATCTTTTTTTTTTTTTTTTTTTTTTTGAGACGGAGTTTCGCTCTTGTTACCCAGGCTGGAGTGCAATGGCGCGAACTCAGCTCACCACAACCTCCGCCTCCTGGGTTCAGGCAATTCTCCTGCCTCAGCCTCCCGAGTAGCCGGGACTACAGGCACGCGCCACCATGCCCAGCTAATTTTTTTGTATTTTTAGTAGAGACGGGGTTTCACCGTGTTGACCAGGATGGTCTCGATCTCTTGACCTCGTGATCCACCCGCCTCGGCCTCCCAAAGTGCTGGGATTACAGGCGTGAGCCACCGCGCCCGGCAAGCATCTTTTTTTATGTGGTCAGTTTTATTTCATTCTTACTTCTTCATCTATTGTCTATTATACATTTGCCCATTTCACTATAGGGTTGTCTTTTTCTTTTTTTTTTTTATTCCATTTCCACAGAAGATTCACTGATTGATTTGCAAAGAAGGGTTGTCTTTTTCTTACATGTATTTGTTTTCACTGCCTGTTCCAGATGTCAATTATTTGTGCACTGTATATGTTTCCTCTTTTTGAACTTTACTCGTGGTATTTTTGTCCTATGAAACATTTTAGCCCATACTCTCACATGGAAGAATAATTACCTTGCAAACCTCTCTTGTGTACTCCTATTCAGTAGCATCAAATCCAGTTGATTTGAGTCTTACCCTTCCTTCTGAGGAAATACAGTGTTGTGATTAGAAGCACAGGCCAGGCATGGTGGCTCACTCCTGTAATCGCAGCACTTTGGGAGGCTGAGGCAGGCGGATCACCCGAGATCAGGAGTTCTAAACCAGCCTGGCCAACATGGTGAAACTCCTTCTCTACCAAAAATACAAAAATTACCTGGGCATGGTGGTGTACATCTGTAATCCCAGCTACCTGAGAGGCTAAGGCACAAGAATGGCTTGAACCCAGAAGGTGGGGATTGCAGTGAGCCGAGATCACACCACTGCCCTCCAGCCTGGGCAACAGAGCAAGACTCTATCTCAAAAAATAAATAAATATTTTAGAAAATAATAATAAGCATAGACTTTAGGACCAGGCACGGTGGCTCACGCCTGTAATCCCAACACTTCGGAAGGTCAAGGCAGACCCCTTGAGTCCAGGAATTTGAGACCAGCCTGGGCAACACGGTGAAACCCTGTCACTACAAAAGAAATACCAAAAAAAAAAAAAAAAAATAGCCTAAGTGAGCAAGGTGGTACGTGCCTGTGGTCCCAGCTACTCAGGAGGCTGAGGGGACAGAATTTAGACTTTGGGTCAAAATTGATGTGTTCAAGCAAAGGTTTTGCCACTTACTGTGTAACCTTGGGCCAGCTGCTTAACCTCTCTAGACCTCACTTGCCTTCTCTGTAAACCAGAGGTGATAACAGTACACCCATTTCATAAGGCTGTGGTGAGAACTAAATAATATATTTAAAGAGCTTAAAACCGTCTGGTGCATAGCAAGTGTTATGTAAACGTTAAACCTTTCCTGCCCTTTTCATCTGCTCCTCCTTTTCCTTTTTTCCTGTTACAGCATTCCTTCTTTTTTCCTATTTCCTCACTATGCCTTTGCTTGAATACTAATCCTTAAATAAACTACTGGTCCAACAAACAGCAGGCAATAAATACTTCATGCCATTATTTTAAATGACTTCAGAATAATACAAATATATCCAGCATAATAGTTTACATTTTAAAGGTGTTACACCCATTTTGTTTTGAGATATGTCAACAAAACCCATGTTTCTTTTCTATCTGTAAGTTTAAAATGTCCCCAAATCAATTAAAAATAGAGGAAAGTCAGGCTGTTTTTTCTCTTTGTACTGCCATCTCCTGTTTCTACTGTTTTTACACTTCTTTGCAGCTCAGTTTCTTTATCTGTAAGATATTCTTAGGATGAACTTAGTAAGAAATGTGCAAGATCTAGATGAAGACCCACCAGATAGGATGCTCTCTGTAGACACGCAACTCACTGACTCAACCAATGAGGAAATTATCCCACAAAGCAGATAGTCCTAATGGAGGGCAGAATTCAGGACTGAGCATCTCAGTGATGCCGCCGGGAACCCAGGCTTCTCTGTCCCTTCACCGGACTAACCGAGTTCGAGACCACAAGCGGGTCAGTTCGCCAAGGCTGGCGTGGACGGTAGGAATGAAGGAGGTGAGGGTGGCGCGCCGCAGGCCTAGGCAGGGTATCGGCGGCGGCGGCGGCTGGAGGCCCGGCTGATTTGAGGAGACGGCGGTGTCTCCCGGGCCGCGCACCCGATCCTTCCTTGGGTCCGTGCGCGCACAGCGCGAGGCGCGCTCGAGCGGAAGTGGCGGCGACCCCGCCGGAAGCGCGCAGCAAAGGCAGGGGAAGCAGCACAGAGCCCTCCTCCCGCCTTCTCTGTGCAGGAGCCAGCCTAAGGAGCCCATTGCCGACGCGCCGATAGTTCAGCAGCTCTTGAGTCCGGGAAGCTAGAGTGGGCGGAGGGAGGAGCCAGTGGCAATGACCCAGACCTCAACGACCACCCCTTACCAAGCCGGCGGAGCTGCTTGATGAGTGGCTTCCAGGCGGCGTCTCTTGCTTTCAGCCCGGACGGGGTCTCGGGGACCCAGGCTGTGGGGCCGCCTATTCCCCTGCCTTCAGTTCACCCAGAGATAAGGTGAAAAACCTTAGAGACCCTCGGGAGCCGGTCCACCAAAGGGAGGTCTAGGGTCCCCAGGAATGTTGCCTGGGGAGGGGTGTTTGTGGAGAGGGGTATCTGTGAGGAGTGCCCCAGGCCCACCTCTGCGGGGCACTTGAAATGCTCCACATCCCCAGCGAACAGCGTGTCACACATCACACCATGGTGTATTTGAGATCCCATCTGCCACTTGGGCTGGAGGAAATGAGTGTTCCTGGGTTTCTTGTCATTGCTTCCTGAGGGTTTCATTTTACTGCTGTTGGTTTATGGCCTCAAACATAAATTTGAAGAATTTTGCCCTGTCTCGCAGTATTGGGAAGGGGATTGTTTTGTTCCAGTCCGTTTGGACAATTAGTTGGGAGTATTTACAAAAGGTCAGGCCGGGCATGGTGGCTCACACCTGTAATCTCAACCCTTTGGGAGGCCAAGGCGCAAGGATCGCTCGAGCCCACGGGTTCGAGACCCGCTTGGGCAACATCGGGAAACCTTGTCTCTACAGAAAATTTTAAAACTAGCTGGGCATGGTGATGCATGCCTGTAGCCCCAGCTACATGGGAAGCTGAGGCAAGAGGATTGCTTGAGCCGGAGAGTTCGAGGCTGCAGTGAGCTGAGCTCGCACCACTACATCCAGCCCCAGCGACAGAGCAAGACCCTGTCTAAGGTCAATTCTTCAGTGAAATCACAAAATCACAAATGTAGGTAGGGAAGGGCCAAGGTAGGTAACAGGAGTGAGAGAACACAGACACCAACAAAAGTTCTAACTTTGAGGACGACTCTAGTATTCTTTTCATCCTAAGACTTCTGGCCTATCAGCTAGTTCGGACACAGCCTAGGAGTCTCAAGCCAGTAAAGGAACAAGGAGGCAGTTTACCCTCTTGGGACAAAGCTGTGGCCCCACCCTTGATGAAGAAGGGCTGTAGAAACCCAGGACCTTTGAGCAGGTAGACTCCTGAAGGTTTTAGATTCTGTGGAGCAGGTATGTGCAGTGCCAGTACTCAACCGGCAACTGATGGACAGGAATAAGTAGAGCTGCTCTGAGTGTATTCTCTTGCAAGCCTGGGCCAAAGGTACACAGGAAGGAATTAATCATGTGGTGTGGTAGGCCAGGTGTGGAGCCAGAGTGGAACCACGACCAGCCAGTGTCAAGGCAGAAGAGTTCCTCTGGCTGACATTGACGGAAGCAGAGTCAAAAACCTAGAATGGTTTGCTTCAAAGACTGGATGCTGCCTAATGACCTCAAAGACCAGTGACATCTGGACTTTGAGTAAGCAAGGAAGATTTTGGAATGAGCACACAACTTCAAGAAAGCCAAGACATGATTACCTCTAGTTTCTGCTGCTCCTAGAGGCAGAATCATCTGAGAACTGATTGAAGAGTGTCTGTATATCCCAGAGACTAGTGCACTCTAGGATAAAAGGAGTCATTCAGCCCTTACTCTTGGTTGGATGCAGGGCTCTAGTGTAGTTTGAATAAAATGTCACAGAATAAATTTCTAAGACCTTTAGGTTGAGTGAGTGTTAGAGTTTGTCTAATAGTAACTTTCTCATCAGTATCTATTTAGCTGTTCTGCATAGGCCTTTGAGATATGGAAATAAGTAAGATAAATACTCCCCACAAACTCCCAAACAATTAGAATGTTGAGAGAAGAATGAATTAGGAACTCTACTGTACTGAAGAAGGAATTGGTTGGACAGAAAAGAGCTGACTGCCTGAAATCAGGCGTTAAAGACCAGCCTGGCAAACATGGTAAAACCTCATCTTTACAAAAATACAAAAATTAGCCAGACGTGATGACAGGTACCTGTAATCCCAGCTACTTGGGAAGCTGAGGCAGGAGAATTGCTAGAACCCAGGAGGTGAAGGTTGCAGTTAGCCAAGATCGTACCATTGCACTCTAACCTGGGTGACTGAGCAAGACTCTCTCTCAAAAAAAAAAAAAAAAAAAAAAAAAAGAGGTGACTGGTCACTGTAAGCTGGATTTGGGGAAGGTGGGAATGGAGACTAAGGGCTCTTGCTAAGAGGAATTTGAGTAAACCTTTTTCAGGTTCTCATGTCTTTAGCACTTAAATCTTGGACTTAATAAATAGACTGGCAGTGGTGGCATCAACACTACTAAAAGGCAGGGTTACCCTCTTAGAGTACACTTGGAAAATCGGTCTGAAATGAAAGAAACTTTGTTGGTGAGTGGAAGTGGAAGTTTTGGTTGGGTGCAGTGGCTAATATTTTGGGAGGCAAAGGTGAGACGATTGCTTGAGACCAAGAGTTTGAGACCAGCCTGGGCAACATGGGTCTAAAGTGCAGTGCAGTGGCATTCTAACACCCACCCAACCTAAGGGCTTTAGTATCCATAGAAAAAGCATTGCCAAAATTATGCCATATGTTAAGATCAAGGCTTATCTTTGGGTGTTGAGTGCAACCGTCATTATAAGAAGCAAAATAAACTTAGAAGCAAAGGAGTAGATGAGGATCTGTCTTGGGAGAAAATCCAAAAATCAGTTGTGATCAGGGTATAGTACCTTTTGGCCTGACATATAACAAACTCTGCAAAATGTTAAAACCTTTAATGAAAACAAGTGAGATGCTGGACCTTAGTGTCACTCATAATCATGAAATAGTCAACATTTATTGAGCTTTTACTACATACCATAGGTATTCTTCTAAGCTTTTTACTTTCATTAGCTCAATAGTCCTTGCCTTATCATATAATAGGCACTACTGAATGGATATTTGTGTCATTTACTGAGGGAGCAGCTATCAAGAGCCCAGCCAATAAGCTGAGAAATCTGAGTTGATTTTAAAGTCCCCCTGTGTTTCAGCAAGGGTGCCAAGACCATTCAATGGAGGAGGGACAGTCTTTTCAAAAAATGGTACTTGGAAAGCTGCATATCCATATACAAAAAATGTTGTTAGACTCCTTACCTTATACCATACACAGAACTTAAAGTGGATCAAAGACCTAAATGTAAAACTGTTAGAAGAAAACATAGGGCAAAACCTTCATGATGTTAAATTTGGCAGTGATTTCTCATATATGACTCCAAAAGCACAGGCAACAACAAGAAAAAAAAAGATGAATTGGATTTCATCAAAATTATAAACTTTTGTGCATCAAAGAACATGATAATGAATGAAATGACAACCCACAGAATGAGAAAAAATATTTGCAAATTATCCATCTGACAAGAGAATAATATACAGGATAACAAACAACCCAATTGAAACATAAAGTAGCCAAGCACAGTGGCACACACGTAGACTTCCTCCTATTCAAGAGGCTGAGGCAGGAGGATTGCTGAGTCCAGAATTTCGAGACCAGCCTGGGCAACATAGCAAGATTCTATCTCAAACAATAAATAAAGAATAAGCAAAGGACTTGAATAGATGTTTCTCCAAAGATGATATACAAATGGCCAATAAGAACATGAAAAGATGTTCAACATCACTAGTCAATAGGGAAATGCAGATCAAAACCACAGTGATATACCACTTCATATCCATAGTATGGCTACTATGGAAAAATGGAGCCCAGCACAGTGGCTCATCCCTGTAATCCCAACACTCTGGGAGGCTGTGGCAGGCAAATCACCTAAGTTCAGGAGTTTGAGACCAGCCTGGCCAACATGGCAAAACCCTGTCTCTACTAAAAAATGCAAAAATTAGCTGGGCATGGTGGCAGGTGCCTATAGTCCAAGCTACTCAGGAAGCTAAGGCCCAAGAATTGCTTGAACCTGGGAGACGGAGGTTGCAGTGAGCCGAGATCATGCCACTGCACTCCAGCCTGGGTGGCAGAGCAAGACTCAATCTCAAAAAAAAAAAAAAAAAAAAAAAAGAAAAGAAAAAATGGAAAAGAGAAAGTGTTAGCAAATATATTTAAGAAATTGGAACCCTTGTTCATTACTGTTAGGAATATAAAATAGTGCAGCCACTGTGGAAGACAGTTTGATGTGTCTTCAGAAAGTTAGAGGATTGCCATACGACCCAGCAATTCCATTTTTAAGTATATATTCAAAGTAATTGAAAGCAGAGACTGAAATAAGTACAGATACTTGGATGCCAGCATTTATAATAGCGTCATTCACAGTGGCCACAAGGTGGAACCAACCCAAGAATCCATGAGCGGAATAAAAAAAATGTAGTTTGTACATACAATGGAATATTATTCGGCTTAAAAAGGAATTAAAGGCCGGGCGCGGTGGCTCAAGCCTGTAATCCCAGCACTTTGGGAGGCCGAGGCGGGTGGATCACAAGGTCAAGAGATCGAGACCATCCTGGTCAAATGGTGAAACCCCGTCTCTACTAAAAATACAAAAAAAAAATCAGCTGGGCATGGTGGCACATGCCTGTAATCCCAGATACTCAGGAGGCTGAGGCAGGAGAATTGCCTGAACCCAGGAGGCGGAGGTTGCGGTGAGCCGAGATCGCGCCATTGCACTCCAGCCTGGGTAACAAGAGTGAAACTCCGTCTCCAAAAAAAAAAAAAGGAATTAAAATGTGACACATGCTACAACATAGATGAGCCTTGAAAACATTATGCCAAGTGAAATAGGCCAAACACAAGTGGACAGAAATTCGAAGATTCTACTTTTATGAGGTACTGAGAATAGGCAATTTCATAGAGACAGAAAGTAGAATAAAGACTACCAGGAGCTGAGAGTACCCTCTTAGAGTACACTTGGAAAATCAGTCTGAAATGAAAGAAACTTTGTTGGTGGAGTGGAAGTGGAAGTTTTGGTTGGGTGCAGTGGCTAATATTTTGGGAGGCAAAGGCAAAGGGGAGAATGGGATGTTGTTATTTAATGAGTACAGAGTTTCTGTTTAGGATGATGAAAAAGTGCTAGAAGTAGATAGTGATGATGGTTGTACAACATTGTGAATGCACTTTTTTATTTTTCAAAATGATCTTTTTATGTCTAAATGAATGTACTTAATGCCACTAAAATTACACTTAAGGATTAAAATAACAAATTTTATGTTATATATATTTTACCACACACACACAAATCCTTTTGCAGGTGGATATGTCTAAAAAGTCATCTTTGTTTTTAGTGTTCCAGCCAAAAATGGCAGACCTTACTTTGGAATCTATTTTGCCATTGGACAAAGTAAGAGAAGATTGTTGGACCTCTGATGAGGCTTCTGCCTGGAGTGGGAGTGAGCTGTTTGGAAGAGGATTGGAAGTCTCAAAAGCAGCAATTGGTCAAAGTTAGGCGAAACAGGCTGGTGAGCCGGACGCGGTGGCTCATGCCTATAATCCCAGTACTTTGGGAGGCCAAGGCTGGTGGATCACAAGGTCAGGAGATCGAGAGATTGAGACCATCCTAGACAACATGGTGAAACCCCGTCTCTACTAAAATATAAAAAATTAGCTGGGCATGGTGGTGCATGCCTGTAGTCCCAGCTACTCGGGAGGCTGAGACAGGAGAATCCCTTGAACCCAGGAGGTGGAAGTTGCAATGAGGCGAGATCACACCATTGCACGCCAGCCTGGCAACAAAGGCGAAACCTCAATTAAAAAAAAAAAAGGAAACTGCTCAGGAGTCATGTTGTTGCTCCTGGAAGTTGGTTGAGTCAGCATCTTCCTAGGTATCCTTACCATCTTGCTTTCACACTTTCTTCCTGATTTGGAGTCCAACACTTGTGGTATCATCAAAACTTAAAAGAGTGTTACAGCAACAGAAAATGGACTTAAGAAAAAAAAAAATTTTAAAGAGATGATCACCTTCTAAAAATTAACCCAGGACTAAAATGAAGGAGTCCTGCTGAGATTGGAAATTGGAAGGTTCTAAACCCCATTGTACCCATTGTATTAGTTTCCTATGGCTGCCATAACGACCACAAATTTGGTGGTTCAAAACAGCAGAAATTTATTCTCTCACGGTTCTAAAAGTCCAAAATCAGAGTGTTGGCAGGCTTGGTTTTTTCTGAAGGGTCTGAGAGAAAATCTTTTCCTTTCTTCTCTCCTAGTTGCTAGTGGCTGTAAGAGTCCTTAGCATTCCTTGACTTGCAGATACATCACTCTAATCTCTACCTCTGTCTTCGAATGACTTCCCCCTGCATCTCTATATATC